GCTCTTTATGGGAGAAAAGGGAATAGGGAGGAGATGGTGGTGATCTTTGTGCTGGGATGAGCAGACCCTGCACCTCTCCCCATGCCAGATCCCTTGCTGGGTCCCAAACTCTCCTTTCTTGTCCTATTTCTTCTACCCGGAGTCCTTCCCTCAGGCACTATTGCAGATGGGCATGTGAACACACATACACACTTTCTCACCCCTCTGGTTCTCAGACAACTGGGGAGGGATGCAGCCCCTCCAAATAACACAACATGCCCCTTGGAAGGGCAAAAGAGCCCCCCCCTTGATGGGTGCAGATGTTCTGCACCAGCACCTCCCCGTGGCTTGGCTTTATCTCTCCCACTGTGGGCAGTCCGCAAGCCTTGGTCAAGTGCTCCGGAGGAGCCAGCTGGAGGGTGCCCATGGGCAGCTATGTCCCTGAGGAGCCAGAGGTGTCTCAGCACCCTCTTGGCCCCACTATGTTTTAGCACTCAACCTTGATCAAGCACATGACCAGATGCCTGCTGATCCATAACATGCTTTGGGAAGTCTGTGGGGAGCTCAACAGGCATCAAACTGGCTGTGTTAGATACCAGGTGGTCCTCTAGGACACAAAAAAACTTGCCAGCCCATCACACCTTTTGTTCCATGTGGCTCCAGGAGAAGTGAAATCCTGTACTCCCCTACTCAAGGCAACACAGTCCCAGTGTCCTGCCTGCTCCACAGTAATTTCACACACCCCAGCAGCACCTGACCTCCTCAAAGAGGGGGAATTACCTCCAGGATATTATAGCGAGAGTTGTCGCAGTAGTCCCGGACCCCAATCTCCGTGCCCATGTACCAGCCGCTGAAGGGGCAGGCAGAAAACTCCAAGCCACCAATCTCGAGGAGCATGTTGGAAACTGCTGGCAAACCATACCACTTCAGGCCCAGGTCCTTAAACCATTCGAACCTGCAGGGACAAACAGAGTTAGGCAACCAGCCAGACCTCCCCTGCCCGATGCAGGCAGGGGAATGGAGGAGGTCACTTTGCTCCCATGGTGAAGGATGTGAGCAAAACAGTTCCTGGAGGCAATATCTCACTGAAGGGTTGTTTATGGGGAGAAAGTGTTATATCAGGAGTTTCATGTAGTGGCATGAGTCCTGGGAGACTTCAAGCAAAGGGAAATTGTGTCCCAAGACAAGGACACAACTTGATTTCCACCTCCAGGCTCTGCCAGATTTGTATCAGGGTGGAAGGAAGACCTGGAAGAGGGTATTGGGTAAAGCACCAAAGCTATGGCAAGGAAAGACAAAGCACAGGAGTCATCATAGGGTGAAAACAGAGGAGCTCAGTCCTGCTGATCCCCTTGCTCTGTTTCCAGGCTTACTCTGACTTACTTGGGGTGCCGGATGGGCACTTCCAGCACCAGCTCTGGAGGGATTTCAAAGAGCTCTGGATCATTGCCATTGGCTTGGAGGAGCAGGGGCAGGATATCGAAGCGCCCGTATGGTGCCTTCCACCCTTGTTGAATGCAGATCTACAGGCAAAACAAAAGCAGGGTTAGATATCCCAGCAGGTCACCTGCTCTTCAAACACTATGGGCACAGAGCCATATGACACTGAGCAGGGCTCCTAACAGCATCTCTCCCCTCATGGCTGAGTAATAACCTCCAGCCAAGAGAACTACAATTCAGGGTTGCCTGTCATGAACCACCCATGGCCAAGTAACTGAGATTTGGGCTGAAAATGAGCCTAGAATGAGATCCCCAGGTAGGATCATGGCTCTGCAAAATCCCCTTACATTGTTTGTGCCTATAATGGTGAAGGAAAAAATGGGCAAGAAAAGTGAAAAAACAGGCTTTATACCTGGGAAAATATCTGAGGGTGAGACAAACCCAACCTCACTTTGTGGTGCTGCAGTGGATGGGCTAAACCTGCTTGACCCAGACCCTCCTCACTCTTGGGACGCTCAGAGTTTCTGTGTGCTCCCACTGGCCTCACGCCCACAGTGCCCAGGAGAAATGGTTTCAGTCAGTACCTCTGTCAGCTCCACATTTGCAGGGTCTCCCAGGATAGTGCCATCAGGCTGCTTGTATCCCGCATAGCGGATGAGCTGCGCGTTCCAGATACGGAAGTCATGCTTGCTGTCTGTCCGCTGTGGGAAGATGGTTATAGCAGATCTGGAAGGAAAAGGCAGCACTGGTGAATGCCAGGGCCATCAGGAGTGGCAAAGTGTTGGAGGGGAAAGGTGCTGTCCCTGCCTGCCACCACCCTGTATACCATCTCTATGTGTGCCCTGGATGAGCCCCAAACAGTTATTACACCAGAAGAAGTTATGGCCAGGTGCACTTCGGCTCTGGAATTTGGGATATTACTGACAATTCAGCTCCAGGCAGAAGCTGGCTGCTAACATGGGGTTTCAGACAGATCTGGAGAGCAGTCTGAGTTTGATGCAGAGTATAGGAAAGAAGAAATAATTGGAGAAACTGCTCTCTGAGGTCCTACAGAGAGCAAAAAGAGATAGACTTGCACCAGCAGGACACCTTCCCCTCATATCAGGTCCCTCTAACACTTCCCAGGACAAGTACTGGTTACAACCCTCCAATTGTGCAGTGGTTGCTAAAAGAGACAACATCAGCAGGTCCCAGAGCTGGGTTGACACACATCCAGAGGTCTTTTGGATACAAACGCTGGTGACTCCCTGGTGGCTCACCTGAGGTTCCCTTTGTTGGTGGCATACTTGATGTGGTTGCAGATATAATTGAACATCCCATGGGCTGTGGTGCAGTCCCGAGCATCAAACACCTGAAACAGGGGACACAATTGTGGGGATGCTATAGGATGCTCCAGCTCCTAGGGCAGAGCCAAGCAGAGGAAACATGGCACAGGGAGAGCTCTAGAGACTCCTGTGATTTGTTAGGTAAGGATATAAAGCTCCATAATTATGTGTTCTCTGCCTTTAGGACACGTGGATGTCAAATCCAGCTGCCCCTTTTTCTTTGGAGAGGTGAGTCATCTGCTGCTCAGGCAAAAAACTCCTCAATCCAGTGCTCCCAACCTGCTGTTTTTCCTGGCTTATCCACCAACAATTTTGGGTTCTGCTGTGTTTCTCTTGCAGATCAACACTCAGATCTTGAATAGGACAGGTGTCAGTCAGGTCTGAGGGGCAGAGAGGATAGGGAATCATAGGACCATAGTATTGAAAGGGATCTTCAAAGAGCACCTAAGTCCAACCTCCCTGCCATGGGCCTGGACATCTTCAACTAGACCACATTGCTCAGAACCCTGTCCAACCTGACCTTGAATGTTTCCAGGGATGGGGCATCCACAAAAGGATGAGAAAACCAGGGAAGAGAGTCAACAAGAGGCTTGAAGAGAAGTTCTTGCAGAAATGAACCCTCAAGGTTCAGACATGCCAAAAGAAACAGTGGACAAGAGGAGCTGAAGGCTGAGCTGGGAGCAAAGGAGGCTCAGCCTCCTGGCCAGGCAGTGCCCATACCCTGTGTGAAGCAGCCACAAGAATTGCTCAGCAGCACCAGAGGTGTGCTCTGGGTTCCAAAGGAGATGTTGTGTCTGTACCAAGGGATTCCACTCGATATCACTAATTCTGATACTGCTCTATACTTCCACTAGTCGGAAGGGCACTGAGCCAAACACTCTTCTTCTGTAGTGACTCTGCCCTGAGGATGAGTGTGTCCTGCCTTCTCTCTCCAGGCAGAGCAGCAGTTTTGGAAGCAGCAGGTGATACACTGGAGCAATATCAGATTTTGGAAAATGTTCTCTAGAGTGCCAGATTCCAGCTGGCTCCATTTCAAGCATGGTCACCTTAGCTACACCTACCCCACCCAGCAGGAGCTTTTCCAGCTCCTGCTGACTTCCCAGCCTGTGCACTCCCAAAGCTGTCAAGGGGAGCACAGCTGCTGTGTGATGGATACCTGCCACTGTACCTCTGATGTGCTTCTCAGGTATTTGAAGAGCAAGATTTGTCTCTCACAAACCCCAACACACCCTCTGGCATGTCAGCTGTCTGCCACAGGGCCAGTGCTCACCTGTAGTTTGGACCACTGGATCCTGCCAACACAGCGAGCTGCATTTCTCCAGGCATGCTTGGCTCCATAGATCAGCTCAGTGTCCCGCAGCTGGTAGGTATCTGTGGCTTCAATCTCCTTGGTCACCTCCTCCAGCCTTTCCACATGGGCCTTGGAGCCAGATCTGCATGGGTGGGGAACAGAGGAGACTTAGTTTGGGTGGAATGCATGGAATCCTGCTGCTTTCTACCTGGTCACATTGCTTTCTTCCGTAAACATATACACACACATAATTTGCAGAAACACAGAACAAATGCTACAAATTAATCTCCACTGAAGAAGCAGCTGCTCGCAGACCACCAGAGCCTCACCCTGCTCTGACTCACAAGCATGAAATATCAGATCTTCATAGGCTCATAGAATTTTAGGGGTTGGAATGGATCTTACAGACCATCTAGTCCCAACCCCCTGCCCTGGGCAGGGACACCTCCCACTAGACCACAATGCTCAAGGCTTTCTCCAACCTGGCTTTGAATACTGCCAGAACTGGGGCAGCCACAGCCTCCCTGGGCAACCTGTGCCAGTGTCTCACCACCCTTACAGTAAAAAAACTTTTTTCTAATATCTAACCTAAACCTCTCCTCCTTCAGTTTGAAACTGTTAGCCCTTGTCTTAGCATCTTGTGCAACATCTCAGCATAAGCAGCAGCCTCAGACAGCAACCTTCACCAGGTACTTCTTACCTCTTTATGGAGGAGTAGTACTGGTCAATGAAGTCCTTAGCCAAAAGGAGCACCTCCTCCTTTGTCCGGGTATCTTCTGACTTGCGGATATGGGGGCTGGGAGTCATTACTGAGCCCATGCAGATCTGCTCAGTGCATGCAGTGGCCTGATGGGACACAAGGAGACAAGTGTGTCTGAAGTTACCACAACAATTTTGGCCACCTGAGCTGGGCTGGGTGAAGTCAGTGATTAGCTACACAGACGTTGGTGGCATCTTTGACAAACAGGGACATTTTCAGCTTATTTGTTTTCACACCTGTTGTTAATGCTGTGTAAAGCAGCTCAAGCATGTGTAGTCAACCCTTGACCCGTCTGATACAATCAGGGCTCATGAGATTCTTGTTCCAGCTTGGCATGAAGTCAAATGCTTTTCCTTATTTATCCGAAATGGACTTCCCTCTCCCCCAGCTTATTGCACCAGAGATTTGAAATTCAAGCCCTACTGGAGACAAGACTGAATTCATCCTCTTCATATCTAGGTAAAGCCATCATAACTGTGATCTACTCAGTTACGCACAGTCTTTTGGCCAGTCCTATCGACTCCACTCACCATTGCTGTCTTGAGGTGCAGGGTGTCATGGAGCACAGAGCCTGTCTCCCAGTTCTTGATTTTGACAAACCGTGGGCATTTGGAAGGACTCCCATTGACCGTGTTCTTGGTCGGAGACTGCTGCCCAGATGGTGGTGGCTGGACACAGGGAACACCAGGCACAAGGTTAGTACTCACCAAGGAGAAACAGAAAAAGTCACAGCAACAAGCAGCATCTTGTATGAGTGGATGCCTGTGCTTAAATTCTATAATACAGTGAGACAATGTACACGATTCAAATATTTGGCAGTATTTGGGATCCTACAATGGAGCAGCTAACTCAATGCAATTGAGAAGTCATGTCTGGTTATGGGACAGCCAAACCTGTAGAAGAAGAGTTAAAAGCAGAGTTAGAAGTGACTTGGAAGAATGTTGTGTTCAAGTTTTCCAGTGGAAGACTTCTCTAAAATGGTCTGGATGGTTCTTTGTAAGGAACATCACCTGCTCAAGTTCTACATATGACAAGGTCTGCCTCACTGGTATGAGCACTGTGAGATAGAGCTAGCAGCCAGTCATTCCTCTGACTACCCAAAGGCATGTCTTCTTTGATATCCATTCTGGAAGATTGTAGAAATAAGGATGGATAAATTATGCAAGTGGGAGGGGTGCTGAATCATGCATAGCTGGATTACTTCAGTCTCAGCTCTGTGTCTCCAGCACTCCCTGATGCTCTGTGTTGGGTTGTGCTCATCAGGCACTTCTTCAGTTATGTGCCAATGTGTCACTATCATAGAGTTCATGATGGGAAGAACTGGCTGAAACTCTTTGTATTTGCACAAGTTTTCACTCAGAATATCTAGAATTTCTACTGTGGCCCTTATTCAGCACAAGCACTTTAAAAGCTTGAAGAGCAAGTCATGTCTGCCAGTGTATCATGGGATGGGGAGATCTGCAGAGACATTTCTCCCAGGAAACAGATCTTATAGTAGGATGTAATTCCACCAGTGCTGTTGCTGCAGGCTTCAAGGGGAGATCTGATCCACACCGGAGCATCCTGGCAAAACCTGCTTGTATTTGGCACCACTTCAAGGCCTGGACCTGTGCTAATTATACCTGAGCTTGGACTGAGTTTGCTGTAGCCTTCCTGAATGAACCTGTGGCTGGTGTCCCTTTCTAATGTAGCTACAAGGTTATTTTTAGAGATGGCACTGCCTTCAGCAGAGCTGTGCAGAGTCTTACCCTCCTTTTGGGGTTCTGGGCTCATGTCCCAGTTGTAGCCCATGGACTAGCAGCAATAGCACAAACCTAGCATTACAGACTGAAAGACCAACCAAAAAAGTCAGCACAGGGTGGAAGAAGCTCTTGGTTCAAGACAGAAAGCAACAGGGGCCACAAGGATGACAAAACCAGGTGAGGCTCCAGTTCTAACTTGTTCCTGCTTTGTCAGACAGCAAATTGCTCTGCTCTTCCAAAGGGAGAAATTGATGCCTGACTGACTGCAAGACTGGTGCCTGGACTGAGAAGACACCTCTGCATTGCTCTGGTGGCACTGTTGCCCGTATTTTTTTGCCCAGTCCTTGTTTTTACCATATGCTCCAGACATTTTTTCCTAGAAAACAGGGATTTTGCTGTCAAGCAGCCTGAGGCTCATAGTGTAAGACTGAGCACTGAAAACATATTCTGGGAGCAAGAGACAGAGGCTGGAGGGGAAGGGAGAGCTTTACGTCCTGACCCCTCAGTAGGATCCACTTTGGTCCTCACAGTTTTCAAAAGCTGCTACCTGCATGTACTCAGGCTATGCTGCTATGGGTCTCCATGACATTCCTCAGGTCACAAATCCTGTGGTCTTCCTGAGAAGAATTTTGAAGCCCCTGAAGCCAGATGACCACACAGTGGACTTCAGGCTCCCCTTTCCATGCTGTAGAAACCAAATGTAAGACAGTGTAGATTTCAATATCAGCAGTAAATAAAAAGAACCTCCTAAATGTAGTCCTGGAAAAGCACTGTTTTTAAGTTCATCTTCTTCAGTTTTGGGGAATCTGACCCGAGTTATGGCAGTGGCAGTTCCTGGCCATTTTTTCCCTTGCTTGTTTTACTCCAAAAGATAACAAAAGAATTATTTAGCTGCTAACAGCACCCTGTGCTCTCTGAATCACTCTGTGGACCAAAGCGGATAATCTGCTACCTTCCTTCTGAGCATGATTGCTCAGAGCAGCTCTATGAGATTGGTAAAACATAGCAGAAAAAGCTGCTCAGAAATGCAACTAAATCCCCTCCTCACCTGCCAGACACAAATCAGAAGCACCAAACAGGAAGCATTGATTGCATCCAACACTTTTTAAATCTGAGTTAGTTTTGATTTCCTGACAAGGTGTGCTGCTAAACTACATCTTGCTAGAGCAGATATGACCGAAGATACATTAAGGTTGGAAAAGACCTCCAAGATCATCAGGTCCAACCTTTGACCGATCACCACCTTGTCCACTAGACCAGAACACTAAGTGACACATCCAGTTGTTTCTTGAACACCTCCAGGAATGGTGACTCCACTACCTCCCTGGGCAGCCCCTTCCAGTTCCTGACAACCCTTTCAGTCTTTGCTGAGAGAGGGCCATGGACCAGAGGGATGCTGAATCCCTGGATGCAAGCCAGGCTGAAGCAGCCAAGGCAACACCACTGACAAGAAACAGAGGTGTCAGGTCTGACAACCACACCGCAGAGCAGCTGTGGAGAGCGAGACACGCAGAAGTGACTGAGAAGGAGCTCTGTGTGTGTGTGTATGTGCACAGCAAAGCTGAAGCCAAACATTACCCCTCGTTCTGTCAGGGAGGCTGTGTGAGATCCTTTCATGTTTTAATTAGGCAGCTGTGATATTAGTGACTCAAGAGTGGGACAAACGGAGAGACTAATGTAGCAGTTGGGGTGCACATGCATTATGCAAACATCTTTTACCAGGGAGTGCGTTGGCACTTATCGGCAGCGCACAGCTTGCGAGCTGTCTGCAGCTCGTGCAGATGCAGGGGAGAAATGCACCCAGCCCTGGGCATTCCTTAGGACCAGAATGACAGGACCATCTCCCTTTTGCAGACCCGAGTGGGCTCTACAGGTCCTCACCCTTCCTCCTGCATCCCTGTTGGGCTGTGAGAGTCTCTGCAATGGTGGAAGGTATTGCCCTGCTGACATGCATCAACTGTGGGAGGACAGGGGCTGCAGTCATAGCCCAGGGCAGAGATATATTGTCATGTTGACATTTCCTTCCAGCCTATATTAACTTTACTAGCTGAAAGTGTATTTTTCGCTTTTATAAAGCTGTAAATCACACTTACAAGTGTGGAGCTGATATGACTCCCTTCCCCTGAGAGCTACAGGGACACATGCCTCCCAGTTACCCTTGAGCTACTAACAAATCAAGCCATATGGACTGAAATAGGACCTGGGCTGCTGCAGCCATGGCATCTTTCCATCAGTCAGGCTTAGGACCAGAGGGATTGGGCTCCTGGAAAACAAGCAAAACACACTGTGTGATTCTGCAAAAACCAAAAAGGAGGGATGGGGATCAATGACCAGCAGGTCTTTCAGCACCTTATTACGAGCCTCAGTGAGCATTCACCACCTGGTCAAGTGAATCCACCAAATCCTGCTTTAAAGAATAAGGTGTATAAAAAGTTCCCACTTGGCTATAATAATTAATAATATTTATTGCTGCTTGAAAGAAGTTCAGTTGCCTTGACTGCACACAACCCAGGGGAATGACTGCAGGGAGCACGGGTGAAAAACCAAACTGTTTCCAGAAGATTTGGGGATAAGAAGGATAAAAAGAATGCTGTGCATCTAGTAAAAAAAATATGTTAAAGAGTTCAATAGCAGCTTAAGACTGGAGGTTTTGGCAGCCCTAACATGGAGAGAAATTAAGCTCTGAACACAGAAGGTTATAAAGTGCTTATAGTAACAGACACATACATGCAAGGAGCTTAGCAAAGGAGGCAGAAAGACAGTCTTTCCAGAGCTGGGCAAGGGGAGTAGAGCAGTGACCTGTCCTTGGGCAAGATGGACTTGTGATAACGGCCACAGTGCATTAACCATCTGTTGGGACATGGGGCTGTCCAGGAACATCTCTCCACTGGCTGAACAGAGCATGTTGCAGCTCACAGATGCAGCCATTTGTGTGTACACACGTAGGATAACACCTCCCATAAGGCTGGCTATGTTACTGAGACACCTGGATGCAATCCTGAGCTGTGGCCAGGCAAGGGGAGGATGGACATCACTCCCAGCTCACGGCACCACCCAACCAGGTTGGTTAAAACCATGCAGCAAGTCTGGTGTGGTCAAGAGTATCTCAGCTGCCCTGAATGTGCATCAGTACCAGCACAGCAGTTCTCAGATGTTCCATGGGCTTCTCACACTGTGAGGCTGCAAGTGTACAGGAACATCATTCTGTACAAGAGTCCTGGGAGAACTGCCTCTAGCTCTTGGGGTCCCAACATAAGAAGGATGTGGAGTTGCTAGAGTGAGCCCAGAGGAGGCCACAGAGATGCACCAAGGGTTGGAACCTCACTGCTCTAGAGCCTGGCTGGGAGAGCTGGGGGTGTTCAGCCTGGAGAAGTTCCAGGGAGATCTTAGAGCCCCTTCCAGTGCCTAAAGAGGCTCCAAGAAAGCTGGAGAGGGACTTGGGATTTGGGTCTGGAGGGACAGGACAAGGAGTGGCTTCCCACTGCCAAAGGGCAGGGATAGATGGGATATTGGAATGGAAATTCTTCCTTGTGAGGGTGCTCAGGCATTGGCACATGTTCCCCAGAGAAACTGTGGCTGCCTCATCCCTGGAAATGTTCCAGGCCAGGTTGGATGGGGCTTGGAGCAACCTGCTCCAGTGCAAGGTGTCTAGGCCCATGGCAGAGGGACTGGAACAGGATGGTCCTGAGACAGGTCCCCTGTGTCCTGCCCTGCTGCTGGTTAATCCCATCAGGGAGACACATTTGCCTGAACAGGCTTAACAGTGCTCATGTACGTCATGTTTTTCCTGAGGTGATCTTTGTGGCCTGGCAGGGTCTGCCTTACCTCTCTGGCTTTGCTACAAACGTGGAGTTAATCTACTTTTGGCAAGGAAGCCTGAGAATTTATGTCCATGAAATGTGAGGAGATGAAAAGGCACCATACAACATATTATCTGAAGTGCTCTATTGAATTACCGTCATATGAATCAAAATGACTTTAATGATGCAACTTGGCTTTTTGCCACAAAAAGGGATCACACTCCCGAGGGAGGTTTCAGAGTCCTGGTCTCTGGCTGTGCTCCCATCCCACGTCAGCCCTTGGATGAAGAGCATCATTCTCCAGTGACCTATATACCCTGTCCGAACCACAGGGACTTCAGCTTCTGGACCAAATGGGCTCTACACCCCACAAACTCCAGCTCTTGGGATAAAAGTGCATATTGCAGGTTCTGTGGCGTGAGAGCCCACCAGGATGGGTCACATACCCTCAAACCCCCTTCCCAGCCAAAGCAGCACGAGTCATGGTTTCTTACCTGCTCTGCTTCGGAGCTGGGGTTGTTCGGGACCACGGGCACATTGCTCTTCCCCCACAGGTCACCCAAGACTCGGTCATTCTCCATCTGAGCTGGTAAGGCTTTCTGTGGATTGTTCTCCCCTTCCCTGAAACTGAAGGGTTAAAAACCATTTGGGTCAGTGGGATGGAGGGCAGCTGGGTGCTGGGACCATGGGTACAGGTCCTACTCCAGCTGCTTGGCACAGGAGCAAAACTTGCACTTGGCCTGTGGGAAGGAAGGAAATGCTCTGCCTCAGCCAAGACTGAATAACTGTGGAGAGGGCAACCCAAACACAATAGAAATTTCACCTTTTGTGCAAGCTCAGTGCCTGCAGAACAACAGGAAATCCCTGCAGACCCACTGCACCCCAAAAACCAAGCTGGAGCCCTGTGAAAGCAAATGTGGAGATGGGGAAAGGAGAGTTGCATGCAATTCCAGCTGCAAAACCTCATGGCAATACGAGTTGGCTGGCAGAGCAGCTGGGTGTTTATGAGCAGATAAGAGGGAAAAAACCCAAGAACAAATAGGTGACTCCCAGGAGTGGGAGACAGCTCTCTTTCCTCTTCCTGACCTTTACAGATGTGGCAGATGCCGGTGAGTGCAAGTGATTTTAGTCAAAGGAAACTGATGGATTGCCCCTAAGGAACTGGGGATGTGAGTAAGGCTGGGGATTAAGGACATCCCAGTGCTGGCTGCTCTGGCCCGTGCAGTGGCACTGGAGTAACTCACGGTGTATGCAGCCTACCACGCATGTTTTGCCTGGGGAACAGACCATGGGATGTCAGAGAGGCTGTTAAAATGTCGTGCAAGCAAATGATGGAAAAGCACTGCCATATGAGCTCTCAGGAAGGAGAAAAACAAGTGGGATTTAGAGATGTGATATGCAGAGAAGGCAGTGGCATCTCTACCACCAGCGCTGACCGCCCGGTGAGGCCACAGGTGGGAAGGAGCTCTGTGTGTTGGGCTGCACAGGGGCACAGCCCCACGGCTCACAGCCACGCTGCCTTCGCCCTTGCTCAACAGACCACTGAGGTAATGAACTCTGGCAAATGTTTTGCTCCTTCTGTCAGTTCTTAAAAGTCTTCCAGATGCCCACTGAAGTCAATAATGAGCCTTCTCATTAATGACAGCAGGTTTGGGGCACTGGCCAAAGTAGGACACTTGCATTCAGGACATAATTCATACCAACATGATGCTCTTGACACTCACGGAAAGACAAATGCATACCAACAAAATCAGTTTCACAATCCTCCTTGCTCCCCAGTTTGTGTCTTTAGGTACAGCTTAAGGAAAATTTATCAGTTAAACATGATCTCCCCGTGTTCTATTTTCTGTCATTTTTCTGCCTTTCCAGAGCAATGTTCAGCTGCCAAAATATTTCACTAGGATCCTGGACACCTTCCAAATGTCTGCTTTCGGGTGAAAATGGCCAGCTTGCTGCAAGTGAGGAGGTACAGGTGCCATAGGGGTAGCTTTTACTAGAGTTTTTATGCTGCCCTCAGGACAAGAAAACTTCTTTGGTGACTTGGCTCCTGCAAGGATGTGAGAGGGTTTCAATTAGATACAACACAAGAAACCCTGCCCGTTGCACCACACAGCCACAGCTAAAGACAACAGATCTTGTATCTCTGCTACAGTGGTGATGCTGCTGGGATTATCCAGCAGCCATGCAGATCCCAGGGATAGACAACCATGAACCATGCAATATCCACTCTGCCCAAAAACAGGAAGCTTAGGGTCTCTTGACATGACCAGTCTACCTCCATCTAGATAATTCCCAGCAGCAAGACAGAGAATTAGCAGGATGAAAATTCAGCCAATCTGGCTCTTGTCTCTAAGTGAAGGCCAGCTGTTAAACCTCCCTGAGAACACTCATTTCACAGCTGCACATCCATGCACTCTTGCCCTGAGCACCATCGTGTCAGAGAGTGGGGAGGCAGGTCAACACAGGGCCACTGAGCACATGAAGTGATGGCCACACATGAGAAATCTCTAGTAGCTGATGAGCCCCAGTGTGATGCTCCTCATACCTGGCTGAAAATCAAGACACAAACACTAAATCCATAAGATGATGGAAGAAATCTTTTGGCTTTTCTGCTGCCTAGAGGCTTAGCAGTGGGAACCTGCCTGCCAGAAGACTGTGATGCCTCTCCAGGGTCATGGACTTTGCCTCTATGCAGACAGGAGAGGTTTGGGATCCAAAGACAGACTCAGCATGTGTGATATCCCACAGGCACCTCCAAAATGACACTGAGCTATGCCTGCAGGCACCTGGCACAACATGCTGTTTCCAGAGGGGTGTTTGCAAGACTGCTGCCAGCATGAGGGATGCTCAGACAGGGATCCATCAATCAGCAGCAGGAGCAGGAGGTCTCAGCCAGGAGGCTGCACACGTAATCTCATTGTCTGCACATCAGCAAAGCCGCAAATGCTGGCACCTATGCCAAGAGCATGGAAAAAGACCAGATGCTTGAATTAAACTATTGCTGTATTTGGGTACTTTGTGCATTACAAGCACCACTGTGGCAAGGACCTGCTCCCATTCACTGGCCTCAAGCGTCACTTGACAGTGAGATGCACCACCCTGAGAAACAGTGAGGCCCAGGTGGACATTATGAGTTGGATACTCAGGAGCAAATGCTCCACATCTCATTGCATGTTTGCAAGTGTGGCAGAAGCAGGTTGCGTGTTGCTATTCCTGACAGACTTACAGCTGCGTGAGCACAGCAGTGAGGTGCTGCCTCACCCTTAGACTCTGCTAGGAAAACACAGTCAAGCGTAGCTGCCACAAAGCCATTAGACTAAACTCATGGGTGTATCTCTCACCTCCACACTGGTGCTGTGCTTTGCCTCACTTGGGGTCAGGCCAGGAGATCTGCCCCTCGTGGGACTGTGGGTGCATGCCCTGTGCTGAGCTAGTGCAGATCTCTCCTAACTGAGACTACCCAGAAGTATCCGGCTCTGTCTTTTGGAGAGAGACAGAGAGAAAAGCCCATTCAGAGCAGACACAGCCTCATCCCAGTCCCAGCACACATGGCAGGGGGAAAATAAAAACCATCAATTGCTTCATTTTCCAAATATTTCCTGCCCCTTTCTTGTAACTGCCTTGTTTGTGAGCTCAGACAGGAACAGGGTCATTGGGGGAAGTTATTTTCCTCTCTTGATGTGGCTTTTCCAGCCTCCAGCAGAGGCACAGGATGACCTGGCACATCTATACAAGGATGCCACTCACAACTCAAGGAGACTAGCAGAACAGCCACACTACCATGCCCTAGCTCAGTCTCCAGATAACATTTCCAAAAGCACTTTATCGACAGGAGAACCCAAAGGGCTGTTCCAGTAGGCTATGGGGAGGGCACAGTTCCTGAGGAGTGTTTCAAGGCAGTCAGGCTGGACATACCCAGGGATCTGCCATGGGAAACTCCTTTACAGGAGGAGGGGAGCTGGCCCTTGGATCCTGGCAGCCTTTGGAGAAATTCTGGCCAGACTGGATGGGGCTTGGAGCAACCTGGTCCTAGCAGACCCAACCTAGTGGAAGGTGTCCTTGCCCATGGCAGGGGGCTGAAATGAGATGAGCTTTAAGAGCCCTTCCAGGCCAAACCATTCCATGAGATTCTTTTAAATCACCACTTTAATGCCTTTGAGGAACTGGAAGAAATGCTGAAGAAGTGCCCTTGGAGGTCATATACTGGCAGAATTCTCCCAAATCCAGGATTCAGAGATCTCTCTCTGACCAATCCTGCTGCCAGATCTATTAAAAACTATTAGCCAGATCTCTCAGGTCCAGAGCAGGTTTTGAGAAAGGGACCCTGTTTGAGGTTGCTTTCTGTTCTGAAAGCAAAATTTGATACTTAAAAAAGGAAAGAGGAATCCTGCCCTCCCCCACTGGTGCAAGGCAGAGCCTCTGATTCTGCCTCCCCTTGGAAAGAGCATCTGGCTGTTTGGAGAAATGAGAGGCACCACTGTTTTCTTTTGACTAATTTGATGATGTTGCAGTGCTCAGAGTGATGAAGCAGAAGGAAAGTTGCTGAGACAGCCATTTCAGAAATTTCTCCAAAGCTTTTCCAAAAAGAAATTTTTTTTAAAAAAAAAAAAAAAGCAAAAGTTTGTCACTTCGCTCCTTTGAATTTTCTTGGCAAAAGAATCTCTCTGATTTCCCAAGAAGAGATGAGAGCTACTACTCACTGCTGCCACGTCATAGGGTCCAATTTGGATGAGCTGATAAGGATGACGATGTCCACACCTCTGGTGATGGATCTTGTGCTGCAATGCTGACAGTATCACCCTGTGCTGTGACCACAGTGGATGAACTCCTTCCTTCCAAGCCCTTCTCCTGGGGGCTGAAATCCCCTCACGTGCACACCTCACTTGCTCTGAGCTTCAGGAGAGAAATACCTTCTTCCCCTCTCCTGATTTATCCTTGCAGATGGCTGCAAGGCTGCCCTTGCAGTGCTAGGGGCTGGGGTAAGTGGCTCTTGCCTCACCTTTCTTTTGCCCTACGGAAAACCATACTCCAGAGGGTATGTCATCATCAGAAGTTAATATTTTCTCGCTTCCTTTCCTGGGGCAGCTCATGGCTTGTGACATAGGAAAACATGCTGGCTGCAGGCTCCTCGTCTGGAGGGGGAAGGCAAGATCTGGCACAACAACACACGTTTGAGGGAGAGGCAGGAGAAGGGATTTTCAGGTTGCAGAGGATGGAGTAGAGCTCAGGAAGGAAGCATGAATTTGGAAGCAGAAGGAACAGCTCCTAAAGGTGGAATGCACTCCCCAGAGCGGCAGAGTGAACAACGTGCCCAGAGTAGGAACTGCAGAGTGATCAAAGCAAGAAACCACTTCCTAAATGAGAAAGGGGACCTGAAAGAGCATTGAAGGAGGAGGATAAAAGCCTCATGACAAGCATGCCACATGGCTTGAAGAAAGTCCTGCTCCTCCTTTGTCAGAGTGTAACTGGGCTGTGCCCAGCGCAGGGATTAGGGACTAATGAGCCGAGCAAACTGCAGCTTCAGAGAGGTCTGTGAAATACGAGGCTGGTAAATGCCATTGAGGAGGCATTGACAGAGAAAGACCCGGGAACAGATCCAAGCGATCCCATCAGCATCGTTCAAAATTCAACCAGCGTCAATCTGCAGCTGCCACTCTTGTCCCTTTCCAGCCATGCCCAAAGAGCACCCGGAGGATTCCAGTCTCAGCAGTTTCTCTGGAGGCCAAACACAGTTCAGGTCTGCTGGCAAGGCTCACACATGGGCCAAAGGTTTGGCTGCTGGGACCACATACAAAGATAACATCTGTCCCAACTCGTGGGATACAAGAAGTCACACCAGCTGAGAAGGTGGAGGGTGCTTTGGGGACTGGTCTGAGAGGGCTCCATGGGGATATATTTGAGTGGAAGATGCTACTTGCAGGCACAAAATGCCTCTTTGGATCTGACTGAGGGAGTCAGAGTGCCGAGGAAGAAGAACCAGCCGAGGGAGAAGGAGAGAGTTATTCACTGTGAGAGCTCCCTGCATTCATTTACAGAATGGCACAAACACGATAGTTTGAGAGAACCTTTTCATTTCAGAGGTTTTAAAGTTTTGTGTCCAAGTACAGAATAATGAAGACATCAGAAATGCAAATGAAATGTTTTGAGCAACACAAAGAGATTTTGGCGGCAGTGAAGGAGGTGGGAGGAAGAGATTTTTCTCTTCGAGAACTGCAAAATTATGGGGCTTGTTCCAATGCAGGATGGAGCCTGAAACCTTGAAACCCTACATAAACTGAATTTCTGCTCTCAGCACACTTCTCTCTCTCGGGGCTGCTGATGCTGCTTTTTGGACCACAACTGCCATGTTTCCATCATGCTGTTCATGTTATGGAATAAACCTGAGAAGAAAAATAAATACTGGCAACTTGGTGGAGCGGGGGGAAGAAGGAGGGAAGATGGAACATGACAATCTCCCTAGAGCTCAGAGGGAAAAACAGACCTAGGTTAGCTGGCAGTGAGTGAATCACTCTATTTTTGCTTTCTAGCCCACGGTGAGCCTCATGGCAGAAATGCCAGCTCTCATCATACCTTGCTCCCCACTTCCATGCTCTCTTTTATGATTGACTTCATTGCAGATGGCTTGAGCCAAGGAGCAGACATGCAGCCGTGGTCACAGCTCATCCCACGGACACGCACCGTAGGCACATGGCACCTTCCAGCTGGAAATCAGCAGGGAGGAAAAGCCAGGTTATTGCAGACATAGCTCCCCTGGAGAGCATAGACCATGGGTGAAGGGGATGGAGATGTACTGATTGTTTCCCCAATGCAAACTTCACCGTTTCCAGGTTTCCTTGAGAGTAACACTAGAGATGGGCAGGATGCCCAAAGCATCAGGTGTAGTTTGAATCGCTTTTGGCAAAGCCCACCTTGAACAAGAAGTGTTTGGCTCCTTGTGAATAACCTCAGTCTTGTACCTTTCCTTTCTGCCCTCAGAAAGCTGTCACAGCTCCGTGAGCTGGATCAGCTTTGACAAAGTGCTGCAGCCTGTGAAGGTCAGTGCCAGGCAAAGACAAGACAAAACAGGATTCATACCAAGACCAGCATCTTCAGCTGGATTGATGGCCAAGTGGTCCAGGTTATAGGTGTCAAGTTCAACCTTGAGGGAGGTTTTGCACCCTCCTGGTGTCTAGGTAGAGCTCTATTCCTGCTCTGACTAATGCAAGCTTTTCTTTTCCCCCCAGCCTGGAGAAGTCACAGCTTACAGCATGAGAGCTGCATCAATCTGATAAGGCTTGCTGGGTTGTTTTGGCATTTGTTTGGCATCAATCAACAATCTCCCCAGTTATCCACTCCCCAATCACTCTCTGACCTTTCTCTACTTCTCCTATGGAGCAAGAAAACTTCAGCTGTAGAAGACCTTCACAATGCCCCAGCTCTGCCTGAGACCAAGCCAAGGAGAGAAATCATCTCCAGCACATCACAGGAGAAATACCCTTTGCCCTGCAGAGTGGCTCTCAACAAGTCCTCTCTGCAGTGTATCTCCTTTCTCACATCTCTGCTCGAGCCAGCTCACACAAAGTCCTACCACAAAAACGAGGCTACAGCTCTTCATGGAGCAGGAGATTTTGACAAAAAAAAAGTAGATTTTATGACACATGGTGTATAGATTACACAGGTGTCTTTTAAAGGGTACTGAAAAATAAACTGAGTGAGGATTTGCTGAAGTACCCACCTCGCTAATATTCTTGCTGGTTCGAGGTCCTTCAGTTTAAGTGAATTCAAAGCGTTTCAGGTTAATCTCTCCCCAAAGAGAAAAGACTCCTCATAGAAAAACACATTTTCACCCCTCCCCCAAGCTAAAGCAGAATGTCCCCAGAGACACTACAGCTAGTGGGATGGGAGGGGACAGTGGGGGGCACGGTTTGAAGGGTGAGGCTGCAACTTGTATCAATGCTTGGGATTGTGTCCTCTGAGGGCTTTGCTGGGCTGTGGCTCCCAGCTCCCCTGCAGCAGCTTCAGGTAAACCAGAGGGGATTTTTAAGCACCCCTGCACATTTTATAGTCAAGCACTAGCCTTTCAATTTCTCAGATCTTTGGTTGCTTAAACCAGGCTCCCCCAGGATAGGTTAGTGCTGGATTAAAGGATATGCAGTCCAAGCAGGCAGCCCTCAGCCTTCCAGAGAGAGTGCCAGGCTTAAGGGGGTTAAATTACCTCCTATTGCACAGCAGAGATCAAAACCAACAGTTTTCAAATGTACAAGAGCTGGGGGTATGTGTGGTGAGGAGGGGATTGCAGGAAGGATGTCCCTGGGTGTGCCCTGTCCACTGCTCTTCCCCATGTGTCTGTCACTCGCCAACAGCTCTGAGCTGAGCAGGTTTTATCTCCAACTCAGTGTGACCACCCTAATGGGTTTTGAGTTACCGTGTCCTCCACGGAAAACAGGCGTAATTTGGGAGAGCAGAAACAAACAACTGAAAACAACAACAACAACAAAAAAAAGGAAGATGGAAAACAGAGGGTGTGGGTGTTGCTTTGGGATGGGAGCAATCAGGAGCTCAGACTTGGCTGGGAGCCCACAGTAGAGATCCTGCTGTGCCTTTTCCCTCTTGTTTGTGATTTTAAAAATGAACACAGTTTTTTCTTCCTCTTCCTAAGAAAGTGTGTGCAGCAAGAGAACTTGAAATTATTAATCTCTTTGTGGCTGAACCAAGATCACCAGCTTCAGTGAGTCCTCCAGGCTTTTACAGCCAGTCAATAACTGAGGGCAGCTATAACCTACTGCAGCGCTTGACACTGCTAAAATGTGTTTGGGGACTCAGGGAAAGGCAACAGGAAAATGCAACCTATCACTGCTAATAAAGGGCCAGGAGGCAAGAGAGCTGGTACCAAAACAAGATAGCTACTAACAACAGTTTTGTAAAGCATGAAGCACCACAGGGAGCTGTTCCAGCTCCGGAGTGATGCATTACATCCCAGGGAAACACTGAGGAAGATCAGGAGGGCAACACCATTCACATGGACCATCATAGGAGCAGATACCAGAAATGAAGCCGTTCCACCCACATGATGGAACTTCACCCTTCTCAAGTACTTCACGGTGCAAGCATGCCATGCCTATGTCCCCACCCTTGTTACCCATGCACACATATACCAAAATGATTACCTTACTGTAAAAAGACAAAGGGGATGAGCAGGCAACTCCACTCTTGCATTTCAACAAGGGTTCACCGTTTCTGAGTTCTCAACAGGAAACATTTCCCCCCTACCCAGAAGACAGAAGCACCAAATGCAGGTCCCACTGCCCTTGCACAGAAGTCCCCATGGCTTCAGCTGGAGCTGGTCTGGGGCTCCCCTCCCATCTCCCTAGAGCACAGAAGGTTTTGAAGCTCATTTCTCTTGGGGAGCATCATATCTTGCTGGTCTGACCTTCCTGCTCACTGTCCAGCAGTTAATCAACAGCTGATTTCAACCGGAGAGCCCTAAAGCAGGATTGCAAGGACAGGCAACACCATGAATCTTATTTGACAGGTGGGGAAACTGAGGCACGGGATTTTGCTTAAACTTAAAACAAATGAGATTAAGAACATGGAATAGAAACCTAGCCCAGCCCAGTCTGTGATCCACCACATCACATACCTCAGCTTTCCCTAAAACATTTTTCCTGCTCTCCCCAATTTACCATGCTTAAAACAAGTGTCTTACGGCTTTCTTCCTTTCCTCCACAATATTCTCCCAATTTTTTGTTACTTTTATCTTCCCCTCATCAACCACTTCCCCCTTTTTTTCACATCCCTTCCTCTACATCTCTATCCTGCTGTGCCAGACAGCAGCCAGCTCTGGAGAGATGCTCACTGACACCTAAACCAGCCACCTTGGGTAGCCAAATTCAGTGCATTTCACCGTAAGTAAAAAATGTATTTAGGGACCTACCAGTCCACCTGGACTTCTATATCTCTTGTCTCTACCTTGGAGGGTGCATCTCCATCGCTGTCCTTACTGCTGCTCTTCAGGAGATCCAGGACAGGCTCGATTTCTTTGAGCAGTTCATTGTCTTCCACGCCACCATTGAGGCAAGGGTGACCACAAGCCCCTTCCTTCCCCTTCCCAGTGTCCTGCCCTTTGCTGCCAGTAATGATGCCATTAACGTGGACCATCGGCTCCACCTCACGCCCAATCTCTCTGGTCCACAGGGAGCCCATGGTGCGGTCGGCTGCTGGCAGTGGCTGCTCTTTGCTGTGCAGGCTTGGGTTGGACAAGTCAACTGCCTTCGGAGCCGTGCAGAGGGGTCTGGTGATGCGGATGGTTTTCGGCGTCCCGTCTCCTGCAAAAGTGGTCTCCAGGTGAGTGGTGAAGCCCTCGGGGCCCCGCAGAATGAGGACCACGTAGGTCTCTGAGGCAATGCTTCTTAGGATCTCCAGCGCGGTCTCATAGCTCATGTCCACGAGGGGCTTGCCATTGACAGCTAAAATGATGTCCCCAGCCTGGATGAGGCCACTCTGCTCTGCAGCCCCTCCCCGGATCAGGTCGGAGATGATGACGGGCGGCTTGCTGACGCGCTCCTTCACCAGGAATCCGAGGCCGCCCACCTTGCGCTTGAAGAGCCTCACCGAGATGACGTTGGGCTGTATCTGCTGCACGCTGAACACATTCTCTTCCATGGCAGCCCCCCTCCTAAAGCCTGCAGACCAGGACCTCGACACCCACTGAGCACAGAGAAATTCTCTGTCTGAGATGCTTATCCACGCTGGGGCAGGGAAGGGGCAACTCTGGCTTGCAAGCAACTGGTCTCACTGGAAAATTCCTCTGGACTTCGGCTGCAGAGTGGCTTTCTGTGGCATAGTCAGTGTCACCACTCTCCAAAACAGTAGGGAAGGCAGCGGATATCACCGGTGGGAAGCAAGACTAGGGACAGGGCAGGCAGGGCACTGGGCATCGTGTGGCCGAGCAGGGGCTAGAGGGGACAACATGCCAGCTTTCAATCAGCCTCTGCTCCTGTGCTGGGCAGAGGAGAGGAGGCAGCCTGCTCAATTCACCGACATCCCTGCAAACACTCCACGAGCTTCTTTATCTAGAAAGAAGGAGAAAAAAAAAAATAAAACCCAAAGGAGAAAGAAAAGTGAGACGAGGCAGGCGTAAGTGCCTGCTCAGCACGGGGCTCAGCACGGCACAGGCACCCACATGCATCAGCCCGTCCCCACAGATGTCATCCCCCAGGCTGCGTTTGGGAGACAGGCTGCAGCCTCCCATCGCTCCGAGCTTTGCTTCCTCCAACCCCCCTCGCGAAAATCGACACCATCTGTTCGGCGGAGCCCAGGAAGGCTCGGAGGGAGAGGGGGAGCCCCAGCAGGGTCTGCTGGGCAGCCTGTCCCAGACACTCCCCACTTTGCCCAGGGGTTGCAAGCAAACACCCTGCAAGTCTGGCAAATGGGTAGGGCTGCACCAGAGCTCGGCGGAGATTTCTGCCGGCTGAGGATCTTGTCTCCATGTGTTTTCCAGAGCATCCAACAATTTGATGGTCAAGAACCAGACAGGGGACGTACATTCCTGCCCAGGAGGAAATACGTTCCATAGGTGCTGTCACACCGAGTCAGTTTCGATGCTCCAGGAGCGGCAGCCACGAGCAGAGCGAGGCAGGAGAAGAGGACACTCAGCTCCCCTTCCCCTGAGTTAAGAAAACACTTACAAAGGCAACTGCTTTTAAGCGTGGCTACAGGGATCACTGCCTCAGCTCCTCCTCTCCCCATATTTCAAGCCTGGCACGGGGATAAGGAGGAAACGTTAGCTCTCCCTGATGCCCAGCCCTGCCATCCGGTTCCTAACTGTTCCCACACAAACTGCTTTAGCTGACGGAAAACCATCTAGAGGAGAACATGCAATGACTTTACCCAGCTCTCAGAGGAGCCTCATGCAGCTGGGCATGACTGTCTACAGCCCTCGCCTGGGTGTGGGAGACACACCTCATTGACTCCTGATGGGACCCTTGTTCTTACATGCCTATGCTTGTGTTCAGTAACTTCTGCTCCCAAATCCCTTCTGCGTTCCCCTCCCATTTCTCAGATGCTCTGGAGAACATTTCTCTCCAGGACTGTGCCCTGACATTTTACAGCAAGCTGAAATGCAGGCACCTTCTTTTCATTTTTAAAATCTGAGTTTTGGGGAGAGAACAGAGGACGCTTGGTCTGCAGGCTGAGGGCACTGACATGCCAAGGAAAACACTTTCCTCTCTCCCCATATTCAGGGCAGTGTTTGCACCTTCAGACATGGATCACTGAGCCCCCTCTGCCAGGAGCCCCCTCCAGCACCCAGATGGGAAACACAGGAATCTGATGAGCAGGGCAGTGACACCTGCCCCAGCATTAACTCACTCAAACATTTTAATCCTCATGCGATGAAGGCTGCTGACCTCAGACTGGGATTTTTACCGGCAAGTGAAGAATAAAGTAGTTAGAGACCAATAACCCAAACTGATGGATTTAACCCGTGGCCCTTCCCTGGCCATGATTCAGCCCTGCAGAGCAGCAGCAACATGCAAAGGGTTAGATACTGCCTCAAAGGCTAATTAACACCAGTGACATAAGCCCTAATTGCTGGGTGACTTCCTGTAAGTGACCCTGGCTAGAGGCCACTGGAACAGAACCACTGTGGGCTATGATGGGCTGTGCCACCTCCCAGGGCTCAGGACAGCAGGGCAGGATATCTACTCCAGATCCTTAGGCCACCTGGGGAAGGAAGGTCCTGTATTAGAGGAAGATGGAGGGAAGCTTCTACCGGGAAGGTTCTGTCCTTTTCCTTCTTCCCAGTTTCTCCATCCCTTCCCTGGCCAGAACCCACTTCCACTGGCAGTGCTGGGCACAGTGAGACCCTGGCTGAGTCTTCCCTCTCTTTCTCAGGCTCTTTTTTTGCATGTGCCAAGCCAAAGAACTGCATTACTTCTTCCTGCCAGGTCTCTATTTTCCTGATCCCACTCCTGGCAGCCCATCAGCATGGTCCTTGCATCTCCCAGCCCCTCCACTGGTCCTCCTGCAAGCAAGGTGACCATCACCCTGGCATCCGGACACAGCACCGATTCACACAGGACTCATTTCTAATGCCTTGGCTGACGCTGTAAGGACAAATGTGGCTTTGAAAGTAGCGTAAGTGCCATTTGAGCGTGGGACTGCCAGCTTCCTTCAAGGGGACAACCCTGTCATTTGCTCAGGATTAGTCACTGGCAACACAGTGCTCGCGAACTCCTCACCGTCGGAGAAGTCTGTTTGCATCGTGCCCATCTCAGCGGGACCAAGGCCATCTCAGGGACTGCCTGGCATGAGTCCCTGTCACTGCCAGACATCCCCAGCAGCTCACACAGGCAGATGCTCAACAGCTGGAGGAGACGATGCCTTCCAGCCTGGCTCGACCTTACAGGGGTGTTCACAGGGGAGCGCGGTGATGCTGAGCTCACTGGAAAGAGCTGAGAAACCCCAAAGGGTTTAGTCCCCCTCACACTTCTCCCACCAGGCTAATTTCCAGTTCTTTCCTCAGAAAAGCTTATAATTGTTATGTATATTCAGCTCCAGCCTGCAAGACACCAGGGAACAACATAATTCCTGGGTACACATAATTTCCCATCCTCTAAACCCACTGGCACTTTGGCATTCCGAGGGATGAGTAGAAAAAGTAGATTTTAGGTGATGCCTAAACACCCAGCCAGGGCTTTCTCCCAGATGGTGGTGAGCCTGTCCTCTACAGAGGGTGACTTGCTCCTGGACTTTGCACACTCCTTCCTGTGGGTATTTGATGGCTGGTATCTCCCCCCACCTCAGCTGTGGACACTGCAGCAGCAGTTGGGGATTGGCTGGAAGACAGAGAACAACTTTATGTGCCTGTTCAGGACATTTTTTCCCTCCTTCCAACTCAAGCCTTTTCCTTCCTTTTTTCTCCACTGCTCCTCAGAGTCATGAAGGTCAGAAAAAAGCCAGAAAGCAGCAAGGCAGGCAAGGAGAGCGAGCACAACCTGTCTCTAAGCCCCTGAGCCTTCTGCTCCTTTGGGGAAGAGCTGGAAGGCATTTTCATAGAATCACAGCATCATTTATGTTGGAAAATAACCTTAAGGTCATTAAGTACGACCATTTTCCAGCTAGAAAGTCTTGCACAAACTCAGACTGGAAGCAGGAGGGAGAGGGAAAAGTTCAGGGCAGCAGGAGACACCTGGGAGCATATGGAAGACTCCCCCAGTCACCCAGCAAGGGTCAGAGTTCCCCCATGCTCGGAGTGTCCCAGAACATCTTCAGGTCTGGTCCAAGAGGGGACAGGTTTCAGATGGAACCTAAATGATTCAGCCATGCACGAAGCAACGGGAAGACAGCGGCTGTTTGCAGCGTGGGCTGCTGAGCTCTGCTCAGCTCTGAGAGTTCAGTTCTCCCTACCAGCACCATTAGGAGTCTGATTGATGAACCCAAGAGCTGCAGTATGTTTGCCAGGTTGTACATGTAAAGCTATTGGAGATGTCATGTCTCGTACATTTAGAGCTACTGGAGGTGTCATGTCTAACTCCTTAAACCAGCAAGAGCAGCATCGTGAGCAGGGTTTCACTGGGGAGGAAACACTTAACTGACCCCTGAAAGACAGTCAGGAAAATGGGCAAAGCTGGGCTCAACTCCCTGTCAAGCCACCCTCCTTGAATAAACATCTATGGACAGTGCCATCCCACTCCCTGCCTCAGTTTCCCTTCCTTTTCCAACACATAAGGCCAACTCAAACTGCAGAAGAGCAACAAACATTGCAGAGATACAAACTTGTAGCACCCCAGACAAGAACTAGCTCTGATTCCATCACCAGTCCCTGCTAACATCACTCCTTTGGAGGCTTTAATCAAGCCAGAGAAGAGCAGCAGAACAGGCTTCCCTTCAGCAGCAACAAAGGCATTTGCTCAACAAATAAACCCTACGAGAAGCAATAACTAAAAGCTTCTCGAGTCGCCAGATAACATTTCAAGCAACAAACTCCAGCACATATGTTAATTGAATTATTTGATTTTGAAAGCGAAGCAGAAGAAAAAAAAATCAATCTTGGAAGCTTAACACAATCTCTTAAGTCTCTCAGCCAGGAGCCGCAGGCTGTGGTGAGCTGGTACGAACCCGACGCCAGCCCTTCAGCGTGGACACTTGGGCTGCCCTTGGCCTTGTAAATTGATTTTGAGTCTTGTCTTCACTGCGATAATGGCTTATGGTTCTATGTGCCAGCTTTAAATGGACACCATTGTCCTACTTAATTAGTTTTCATGGGATTTATAGCATTCAAGGAAGAACCCCAGTGCTGATGGATTTATGCCCATTTAATTTTTACGACCCGTGGAGCATCAGTGGATCTGATGAGGAGCACTGGGATGCAACATATGCACAGTTACTGTAAACCTGCGTGCTTGTGCATCTGAAAATGGAGCATTAAAGTGATTCACTGGCAGCCAGCTCGCTCGTGCCAGCAGTTCTGTGCTCAGTTCCCGTTCAGCTCAGAGCGACAACGCGGTGTATCTATGTACGTGGCCTTTTCATCCTGAGAATACATAGACAATGCTCCTCCAGCTATCTTTAATTATCCATATCCCACCAACCTTGCCAAAATCCACCCAGGAAGGAGTGAGCCCTTCTTCTTTCAAAGCCAAACGACCACTCCGCTTATC